GGAAATCCTCCAGCCGACACCAACAACAGTTCGTCAAACTGGGCTCGGCTCAGTCAGAAGCACCGCTGAAAGCCTCCATCATCTAGGTTCAGTTTCTGGAGGAGTTTATGAGCTTACAGAGCTGGATGCACCTCTAAAATAATCTAGTGAACTCAGACACAGCTCCCAACAAATCAACGCTGTTTTTCAGCCTTCATAAAAGCACATAAACACAGTTATTTTCTCAATAAAATCCATGTTAGCCATTTAACAATGAAGCTAGAGTCACCGGGCAGACAAAAGCCCAGCCCATCACGTGAATCCACGTCTGTTCTTAAGTGAGTTTGACGCATCAATGAAGTGGATTTGATGTGCAGATGAAGCGGGGTTTGAGGCGCGAATTAAGTGAGTAAATTCAAATGTTCACGCGCTATTTACGCACGAATAGCGCAAATTTTCCGCTCGTTCCAGCATAAGGCTGTTTGGTGATTTCATACAGTCGACATCCTTCATTTTCTCATCAGTGACATCCAGGCCATAAACAGTCATTACGTGTAAAGATTTTGGACATCCTCTTGGACATTTTTTTACGCGGTTAAAAAGGTTGAGATTGTTCAATATGATGGGATTTACTTTCTATGTGCGATTTTGATTGGACAGGAATCAAAAGACAGATTTTTCTACTTTAACCAATCCCCATAGACAAGAAAAAAAAATAGTGACTGCAGTTTGAAGGAAAGTAGTGGAGTAAAAGTACAGATACAGCACTGAAAATGTACTCAATGGAAAGTAAAAGTACACATTTATAAAACTGCTTAGTAAATTACAATTCCTGAGAAAAACTACTCAATTACAGTAATTTGAGTATTTGTAATTAGTTTCTTTACACAACTGCACATTAAAGACCTGTATTTTCATTCCTTTGTTATCTGAGCTGTATGAAAGTCTATGCATGTGTTGCTCAGTTAGTAAGCTGGAACGTAAAATGCAGAACACACACACACACAAAAAAAAAAAAAAAGAAAAAAGAGACGCCAAAAGTGTTTCTCAGCTGATTCATGTTGTTTGCCTGCAGCAAGAGTCTTTCAGCATTGCGTAAGCACTGGAATATTGTGTGTGTTTTTTCCCCTGCTGTTGTGAACTCGGGCTCAGCCGAGGGATTAGAGTCTCCCACCCTCCCTTCTCTGGCTTTCTCTCCGTCTCTCACTTGCTGTTCCACAGGCCAGATCTGACCTGCAGAGACTCGCCAGACAGACAGATGAACTATCAAAGACCGTCTGTCTGTATGTCTGTCTGTCTGTCTGGCAAACAGATGCTGATGGGTCAGACAGAGTAATGGGGTTGCTCCGTACAAACATGCGATGAACAATAACAGCTTGGGACGTACAATAAGCTCATGAGACAAACACCTGAGCACACCTGGGATGAGTCAGTGTCAAGTTGGCCCACGTTCAGGGGGTGAATCACGTCCCCCTCCCCCAACTGCTCCTCTTCTTTTGCCTTTGTTGTTGTTTTCTTCTTCCCCAGAACTCTCCACCACAACAGCAGGTGGAGGGAGGGAGAGGCGGGATTTAGACAAGCCACACCCCTACAGTTCACCTGCTTCAGCGTGTAAACAACATGACTTTATTCTCTTGTGTTTGTGACGCCATGCAGACTCAGTTTATATAAGGGAATCGTGGGAATACAGGTGAGAAGAGAATCTAGCATGACCTGAAAGAGTAAAAACAGCTCACATTGGGGACAGAGTTGTGCTGTATTTAAAGGCATAGTTCACCCAAAAATAAAAATTACCTGTTTTTACCCCAAGTCTTGTGGTTTTATACCTTTTTCTTTTTTTTTTATGTTGAACACAAAAGACTACTTACTATAAAGATAATAGGTGCCAGCAACCAGCGTTTTTTCAAAATAATGTTAAACAAAACAAACTCAAGTACAAAACAAGTAAAGGGTGAGTAAATGGCAAAGACTTTCATTTGTGGTTGAATCCTTCTTTCACCTTTCAGATTATATTTACAAGACAAATTTTAACTGGATATTGAGAACAGGTGCACATTCTTATTGTGCTCACTATATGCATGTGCATCACTTGACAACCAGTCACAGCAATGTAGTAGCATTTTAGAACGTTGCATTGTGGTGGAAATTTAGGTGAATGTTATAAGAAAGTTATTCTAACCATAAAAAACATTCTAGCAACATTAGGCAAACTGAACATTTCCATGTTTTTGGAAAGTTAAAGATAATGTCAGGTGAACATTCTTATAACAAATTTGTTAGCTAGAAAATTATCTCATTTACTAGTCCTTGTGTGGTTTTAAACCCTTTACTGCACGGCGTAAGCATATGGCAACATGATACTCATGTTCATTTCCCTGCCATTTTCTTTAAGACAAGCATTTTTTTTTTCATTATTATTGGAAAGAGAAGACCTTAGTGTAGCCAATAATGTGCTTTTGTTAAGTCACATGACATCCAGTGTTTATCATTAGCGCAATTTCTGACAGACTGGCATTTATTGACTGGCATTTATAGTTCATTAATTTCCTTGTCAGCTTATTCCCTTTATTAATCTGGGGTCGCCACAGCAGAATGAACCGCTAACTTATCCACCAAGTTTTTAAGAAGCAGATGCCCTTTCAGCAGCAACCTATCTCTGGGAAACATCCACACACACACTCATACACTACGGACAATTTAGCTTATTCAATTCACCTGTACCACATGTCTTTGGACTGTTGGGGAAACCGGACTGTTGGGGAAACCGGTGTATGCAAACTCCACGCAGAAACACCAACTGAGCTAAGGCTCGAACCAGTGACCTTCTTGCTGTGAGGCGACAGCACTACCTACTGCACCACTGCTTCGCGCTATTGGGGAGTTGCTAAATGCAAATGTAAACGTCAATAAATCAAAGGATCAAATTTTGTCAGATCCACAAATAAATCTGAAACACCACTTCCAGTAAGTTATGATGACATTCACAACTCATTTATTTATTTTTTTATTAAATTAAATTTTTGTAAATAAATCAAATGTGATATTAATACAGGGAACAGTGTATTAGCAAGCACCTCCATGTTCTATGGTAAGTGAAAGAAGAAAAGGACAGAAGTGGCTCTTCCTGCAAGTGAAAATGAGAACTCAAATGAAAAGCTAACTCAGATGCAGATAAAACAGATGTTGGATAATTTACAGCATTTTTTTAATTAATTAATTAATTAATTTATTTAATATATATATATATATATATATATATATATATATATATATATATATATATATATATATATATATATATATATATATATAATTATATATATATATATATATATATATATATATATATATAGTTAGCTAGTAAAAAAATTATTCTGATTGATGCATCTCGATATATTAGACCTATTTATTTGTATTTACTGGAGAAAATATTTATATTTACCGTATATATGATAATAGAATATTATAATTGTTTTCAATAATATTCAGCAAAAAGAAAATGAATGGAATCAATGAAAGTTGTTGAAATATGAGTTGTGGTAAAGTATGTATAAGGTCTTAACTAAAAGTGCTATGTTAAAGCTCATAATGCTGCAACACCGACTACCTTATTTAAAAAGAAAAAAAAAAAGTTAATTAAAATTTTTAAATTAGATTTAAGTTAAGGCTATATCATTAAGAACCTTAAATTATTTCTCAAAAAAAAAAAAAAACGTTTTTACAGCATTTCAAGTCAAGCAATTTTAGGAAAGGAGTTTATATATATATATATATATATATATATATATATATATATATATATATATATATATATATCAATGTGTGCAGCAGTAGGTTAAAGAATAGTATCCATCATCTCTTATAATAGAAAAGGTTACTATTGAAGTTAATAGGTGCCAGTGACATGCATTTTTCAGAATAACTTTCATTTAGAGAAGAAACTCAAATAGGTTTAGAGTATACTCAAATACACAAAACAAACAAGAAACGCTAGCTCATAAAACAAGTTTTGCAGTTTGCAAAGTTCAAACTTTGTAAACTTGCATTGGAGAAAGAAAAAAAAAAACAAAACAAAAAAAAAAACATCTCGACTATGATTAAATCAAAGAACAAAACATGACGTATGTGGAAGCAAAATACAAAATATGAACTATCTAGTCATCTTTTAGAATACCTTTTAACAGCGGCATAAGATTTTGCATGCTTAAACTTGTGTAACCACACCTGTGGCAAAGCTGGAAACGCAAGCTTGTGCAACAAGTTTCATAGTTCACTGCATTGGAAAGTTCAAGCTTGGTTAGCAAACTCTGACCAGTCAAAAAAAAAAAAAAAAAAAAAAAAAAAAAAAAAAAAAAAAAAAAAAAGTAATGTTGTGAGACCAATTGAAGATAAAAGCATGATCTCTTTAGACAGAAGTCAATATGGAACGATCGCTTTTGTGCAATGTTTAATTTTTGTAATGTGTAATTTTTTTTTTTACAGCAGTTCAATTTCACATACAAGTATGTGTATGATTGTTGCAGTACCATTAGAACCATTTACAGATTAGCAATTATATATAATATATATTTTTTTAAATTACATTGTCAAACAAGTTTTATTAATTTTATTTGTAAACCATTCAGGGGTGGGATAAAATAGATTTGAAAATATTTTATCATTACAACAGCAAAAAGGCTACTGGCTTACAGCCACCTAATATTTTTTATTAATCCCTAATAATGCTACTTTTCACACTAGTTTGTGCTTGAGACATTGTGTTGTACAGTGCTGGGAAATGAGGGGGAAACATACATTAGACAAAAACAGTGAGCAGTTGGTTGTATTTTTAAATTTGTCCAAAATAAAAATGCATGTCTAGCCATGTCTCAACCTTTTTTTTTTTTTTTTGGCAACAAACATGTTTAGAAATTGATTTAACTAGACCAACACCTAGTTTCATTTTGAAACTGAACTATAGCTGATAAACAGCTCATTAACTGCAATCATGGTTCCACTAAAAAAAATAAATAAAAATGATCCAGGTTTTGTAAGGGTTTTATTTGTAATAAATACATGGTTTAATCTTCATAAAGGGAAAGTTTCAATTTTGGTAATACCGACATGGACATTTCATTTTCTGTCAGCTTTTCCAAGTCCACAAGATCAATTCATGCTGGGGAGAAAAAAAAAAAAAAAAAAAGAAAAAAAAAATTAAATCTAGACCATACACTAGTGAAATCAAAACTAAATTAAATTGCACTACATACTTTACACACAGTAGTAGACAATCCACAGGTACTTGCGGGTATTGACACATGGATCTGAGAAGACGTCATTTGAGGCTGATATAGTGCACCGTTTTCTCCCTTCACATCTATACACGAATAAATAAAAAAAAAAAAAAGGTGATAACCTGAAGTAAAACTGAACTGTTAAATCAGATTGCATTTGATGGCTTGTAACTTGACCCATAATCACATGTACATAGTCCACGAAAGCAATGTGGAGTGTTAGACAATTCAAGTCAAGAAGCTAGTGTTAATGCCAAACCCTAGACATCACTACTCATTCATGACCACATACAGACAGAACAAAAACCATGTTCATAGGGAATAGACAAGCTAAAAATTATAAAATTAACACCAACATCTGATTTTTTTTTCCCCCATTTTGGGTGAAAAAAAAATAAATAAAAAAAATACCCAAAACCTAGGAAGTTGCACTGCAAAAAATGCTTTTCTTGCTTAGATTTTTTTTTTTGTCTTGTTTCTTGTCCAAATATCCAAATTCCTAAATCAAGAAGCATTTTCTAGACAAGCAAAACTTATCGTCTTGTTTTGAGAAATATTAAGAGAGTTTCTTTAAAACAAGCTAAATAATCTGCCAATGGGGTAAACAATTTTACCTCAAATTACATTTTTTTTTTTGATTACCCCATTAGCAGATTATTTTGCTTGTTTTAAGGAAAAACTCGCTTAACTTATTTCTCAAAACAAGACAATGTTTTGCTTGTATAGGAAATTCTTCTTGATTTAAGAAATTTTAGATATTTGGACTAGAAAGACAAAAAAAAAAAAAAAAAAAAAAAAAAAAACTAAGCAAAAAATTTTTTGCAGTGTACCTAAAATGTTAACACCACTTGCTCAATCTATACCTGTTTGACACTATGTCCAGTGAGTTGGGTGAAGAGCAATTAGTGTTTGGGCGTCTACGTTTTGTAGGGCAAGTGGTTCCATCTGTACGTCCATAGTTTGCAGCAATTATCTGAATCTTGGCATGTCCCACTATGGGAAACAAAAGCACATTACAAAGGCGACAGCATGTGACCCAATATTGAAACAAGAGAATTGCTGCTTACCACACTTCAATATACTTTGTTCCCCTTCACAAGTCACACTAGTCTCTGAAAGACAGAAGAAGATTACATGTTTGCGCACAGTGGTCGACTGGAAAAGAAACTAAAATAAAAATACTTACCTGCTGGGATGCAAGTGTAGGTGGTGATGTAGTACTTAAAGGCATGAATACACGGATCACTTGCAAGTCTGTCCTTGCTTACTACACAGTCTGACAGTCCATTACACCTGTTTGAGGACAACAAAAGTTGTAACTAGCCTTGTCAAGGAATTTTGATTTAAGTCCTACATGGCAAAATAAAAACCCCTACCATTTATCGACAGGAGGAGTATCTTTTGAACACCGAGTAGTTAGCATGAAGTTTTGTGGCCTCGCAGGTCCACAAGTGTCAGTGCTTCGGCGACCAAATGTTGCTGATATTACAGAGATCACACCGGTACCTGTTAATATATTAAAATAATAGGATAAGTTAATCTCATTAAATAACAAAATGCAGTAAAAGATCATGACTACACCTACCGCAACGAAGATGAAGGTCCGAATCCACACATGTCATTTGGCTGTCTGAAAAAATAAAGTCAGCCATTTTTAAACTAGATGATTTCTTACCAGAGATTAAGCTTAAAATAAGTTTGACAAACACTCACATATACTCTTGGACACTTGGGGCTCTATTTTAACAATCTTAGTACTAAAGTGCAAAAGAATTAAGGGCGTGTCCGAATCCACTTTTGCCATTTTAAAAGGACAGGACAATAGGCTCTGTGCCACAGTGCATGGTCTAACAGGGTTGAGCTTATTCCCGCAAGGAGTCTTGGCTGTGTTTTGAGAAACCAGAGTCTCAGTTCCTATTGCCTTTAAAAGTCAGTTGCGTCACACCACAGCAGATATGCCATTCACATGGTGACTTTGTAAGTGGGAAGAACTGAACGCTTCACTAGTAAGAAACAGTAAAACAGCATCTGCAGCGAGGATAAGAATGAGCCTCCTCCAATCGGCCTTTACCTTCACTTTCATGGATAACTAAACTCCTGCACAGACATGCATTAGCCTACATAATTTAATTTAAGCATTAATATTGGTTTCAAACCCCCCCCCCATAGCAAAGAATTCTGGCCCAGATTTGGCATAAAGCTGGCACAGCAGGCATTCATCCGGCACTGGCATACAGCATGTGGGCCAAACATGGCCCGGGTTTGGCAGAGGTGGCACCGTCTTTAAGGCGGCACACAAGATTTGGGCCAGATGAAAAACGTAGTATTTGGCCCAGATTTAAAAATTTTATAAGTGGGCCACGTGAGTTTGGCCAGTTTTGACCCACATTTAAAATACACTAAAATCATTTTTGAGTAAAGAAAAAAAAAAAAAATACCAATCAGGTCACTGAGAAAAAGCGTGCCCATAGTGTGCCTAAAGCGCAACACTCCAAGGGTTTATCAATTTCATTGCAATCGTGACACACCAACCTATCTGGCCCAGCTCAGGCCCAGTTATGAGTTATTAACATGGCTGAGACTTGGCCCAGATATGGTCTGTGTTTGGCCCTTGTCTGGAAGCCAGATTTGGTCCAGTCATGTACCATAATTCACTGCGGCATGTGGGCCAAGCAAAACCTGATAGTGTGGGCCAGAGCAATTTTGCTATGTGGGCCATTACGAAACTTTATTCTAATTTCCAGCAAACAAATAAATGAACAATAACGACAGTCAAAAAACTGAGTTATTCAAAAAAAGCATGATGTCCCATATGGTCAAACCCTGACAGGTGGACTAATCCAAGCTTTTATTTTTTTAATCAAACAAATATAAATATGCATATAATATTAATAATAATAATAATAATAATAATAATAATAATAATAATAATAATAATAATAACTACAACATACAAAAAGCCAATTGTCATGAATAAACTAAGAATAGCCTTGCAGAGCTACACCAAAACACCTACCTGCAAGTTGCTAGTAAGCTTAAGACCTTGATTCACTTAGTTCAGGCATTCAATTTGGGCGGCTGAAGCTAATATATGCAGTAAATTAACATCCTAGGACCAAGTTCAGGCACCCCTGCATATTCTCCATTTATATTTAAAATTTCTTCAAATCAGTTTAAGCGAAAAACCAAGTAGTCAAACATCACTTCAACCTTTTTTTGGGGCCACTTTATTTTGATGGTCTGTTTGTTGGATTTAAATTACACTGTCAACTAATTGTCAGATTACAGGTAGACTGTTAGGTTAGGTGCAAGTTGACTTGCAAAATTTCTTATCAGTTAAATGTCTGTTTTTTTTTTTTTTTTTTTAAAGCTTTTGCGATTACAAATTCACAAGAAAGTATATAGATCAATCATTGTGACAAAGCATAAAACAATTGAATCTAGTAGCAAGTAAATGAAACTTACATTTCTTCAACACTGTGCGGTAGTTTACAATTGCAGGCTTAGATTTCAGTAAGCTGCAGTTCATCAGCACTACTAGAAGACAAAAAAAAAAAACCAACCGATTAAAAAGCCTTCACTGCCAATCTAACACAGGTTCACATAGTATTACTGCAAAATAAACTATTTGAAGGGACCTCCTCAGGGCTATTGTTTAGCTACACAATAACATTCAATCTGCATCTGCTTTTTTGATGTACACAAAGAAACTCACAGAAAAGTACAGCAGTAAGAAAACCCATGGTTATACCGTCTTCATCGACAGTGTGTAACGTCTTTACTGGTTCACATTTATAGTCCAGTGCTGTGAGTGTTAATGGGTGACACCTGTGCACCACACCAGTCTCCAGTCCTAGAGGATAACGAGAAATGACTACAGATAAAGAGGACGCTATTGACCCTATTCTAAAATGCGGAAGTTCGCCTGTTTTCGCGATTGTCTTAGAACTTCCGATTCAGTCCCCTACGGGAGAAATGACTAGGAATAATAAACGGCAGAAAATGGCCAAACTACTTGCTCTACAAACAAATGTTTGCATGACTACACAATACAAGAAGAATAATATAATAAGAAAATATCAAATTGCAACATTAAGCAGCGAAATGAGCAGTTTTTAATGTCAAAAAATAAATAGAAGTGAATGTGACCGGAAGTGGCGAGACAAAAAGATTCAAATGGCAGCGTCCGCTCGTCGGCGGAGAATAAGGTGAATGAAGTTAATGAAGTTAGTTAGAACTCATAATGTATTAATGTGTATTGACTCAATGACAGGACCTATGAGTTTAAAGTCACTGAAACTAAAATAAATGAGTATTTTAACACAAATCTGGTCAATATAGAATATGAATAGAATAATCCCATATCTATATACATTTAAGGTATTGAGGAGGAAGACAAAATAAAGCAAAAGAACAGCTAAAAGTAAAAGAACCAAGAATAAATCTTTCACTCAGAGTCAGAAGAATAACAATTTATTTTTATTCATGCATTTTGGGTGAACTATCCCTTTAATTGGAAAGATGGCAGCTTCCTCTTACAGGTACTCGCAGGAATATTTGGTAAACATTACCGAGCATATTAATGAGTACGTCAATGACATTTTCAATATCATTCTATTCTGTGGAGGCCACCCTTCAGGTCAATAGGCAATTATTATATATTTTAGTTCAGTAATATTTAATATGTAGGGCAGCATGGTGGCGCAATGGATAGCAGGATCGCCTTACAGTAAGGAGATCACTGGTTCGAGCCCCGGTTGGGTCAGTTGGCATTTGTGTGTGGAGTTTGCATGTTCTCCTCGTGTTCGTGTGGGTTTCCTTCTGATGCTCCGGATTCCCCCACAGTCCAAAGTCATGCACTAGAGGTGAGTTGAGTGTGAATGCAAGTGTATGGGTGTTTCCCGTGTTGGGTTGCAGCTGGAAGGGCATCCACTGCGTAAAACATATGCTGGATACGTTGGCGGTTCATTCCGCTGTGGTGACCCCTGATGAACAAAGGGACAGAGAAAATGAATGAATAATAAATATGTAGAGATTTTTAGATAGGAAGGTCACTGGTTTGAGCCCCGGCTAGGCCAGGAGGCCTTTCTGTGTGGAGTTTGCATGTTCTCCCCGTGTTTGTGTGGGTTTCCTCTGGTTTACCTTACAGTTCAAAGACATGTGTTATAGTTGATTGGATAAAATTAATAAGCCGTAGTGAATGAAATAATGTATGGGAGTTTCCCAGTGATAAGGCTAGGGGGGGATCCACCGCATAAAACATATGCTTGCCTAATTGGCAGTTTGTTTCAGTGTGGCGGCCCTTGATAAATCAGGGACTAAGCTGAAGGATGGCGAGTGAGTGAGTGTTCTTCTCAATTGCTTGTATTGCAATTTGTGTAGTGTTCAAGGTTGAAATGGAAGAGAAGGCTTAAAACTCTTAAGCAGGGCTGTGGAAACATGATCCTGGAGGGACAGTGTTCCTCAGATTTGACTTCAACCCCAATTTGACACACCCGAATGAGCCAGTCAAGTTATTTCTAGGTATGCTAGAATTTTCCTATCAGGTGTGTTGTAACTAAACTCTGTATGACACCAGCCCCAGGACCAAGTTAAGGCACCCCTGTTCTAGTACAACTAAAGCAGTGGTCACTTGTTCCAGGAGGGCCAGTGTCTGGGGATTTTAGCTCCAACCCTAATCAAACACACCTGAACAAGCTAATCAAGGTCTTACTAGGTCAGGGGCATAGATATATATATACACTAGATATCGCTAAGGGGCCCTGAGCATGCGTCAATAGCGCCGCCACATTGGTACAGTGCTCCCAGGACAAATGTCATTCAACCGCACTAGTCAAGACAGTGTTATTACGTGAAGATGTGGGACTTTGGCGCTGTCTACGTGTGTAATAACGAGCAAACAAAGAAAACAAAGCAGAAAGGCCGAACCTTTCATAGGTAATAAAGTTTTTTTCTGTTTTTGTATGTTCTGAACTTTTGTGCTTATCAGGTAACGTTATTGATGATAATAGTCACTTACTGCATTCACCATATGGCAAAGCAGCTCCAACTTGCACTAAACACTCGACTTATGCTCGTTTTGTTGAATAAAATCAGCAAACAATGCAAAAGAAATATGACAACGAGATGCTGCGCTGCCAGAAACTTTTATTATTGTCGGCTAACGTTAGTTGAAGAGTCGTTTGGGGGATTCATTCACAACGGAATCGCTCCCACTGTCAGTATGAGAAGTGAAAGCAGGAGAGGAGCTGTGTTTCAGGACATGATTAGATCAAATTTAACAGGGAGGGTGAGTAGTACATTTCTGTACACACAAACACAAGCTTTTTGTCAGGAATGCCCGTGCAGTCACTGATCCATCAATGTAGAAAAGTGATGTAAAATTATAATTTTCGTAATTAGAAAAAAAAAAAAATTACATACTAACATCCAGGAAAACTCCAGATCATAGATATGTGTATATCTCTGGCTTTGGATGGACACAGTCCTTCACTGTACCTTGGGCCCGCATTCATTTTAAAGGAGCACTACCCTGTAGCAAGATGGAGGCGCTATTGATGCATTCCGTCCAATAGACAACAATAGGCCAGGCAACATCTAGTGTATATATCTATGGGTCAGGGGTGTTCAATCCTGTTCCTGGAGCTCTACCTTCCTGCAGATTTCAGTTGCTATCCATATCAAACACACCTGAACCAATTAATTAGGACCTGAACACCACTTGATAAATTCAGGCAGGTGTGTTTGATATGGGTAGCAACTGAAATCTGCAGGAAGGTAGAGCTGTTTAATTGAAGTTGAAGCTAAACTTTAAGACAGTGGTCCTCCAGTTGGCTGCAGCATTAAGCCATATTTGCTAGGCCCCCTTAAAACACAGGCACCCACATTTCCAGTGTGGATTATAATTTTATTTTAATAATGAAGAGAAAAAAAAAAGTAGTTTTTTAATTTGGCAAAATTCTCGTTATTTCCTTTATATGGCTTTTGTGCTTTTATAGAATGGGAGTGGGTAAACCAATTCAAGGGCATGCACATTTTCAATACTATATTAATATAATTTTCTGTATTTGCAATATCTGTATTTTGGTATTTTTTTTTCCAGTCCACTTAGAATTCAATATGGAAATCAATGTTTTCTTTATTGTCATTGAATGTTTTGAAATTCAAATGGCTTTAACATGCCGGTGTTTTTATTTCTGTAATAAATATAGCTGTCAGGCCAGGATCTTGATGGTTTATTGTGGGTACGTCATTTACATGAAGAAATTTATGTTACAAGTAAACAAAAATTCTTAAAATGAATTATATTTTGAATTTAAATAGTATTTGTCTTGAGTTTACATTAAATTTTACACTCGAAGACAAATTAATTGTTAGTCTTAAATACAAAAATAAAATATTTAAATAATTTTTTTTTTTTTTTAGAAGTGTGATTAATTATTTTTTTTAATCAAACACACACACCTTCTAGGTAGTGGCTAACAAGGACCCTAATAATAATAAAATTCAATTATTTTAAATTACAGGCATGTCAATATTTAGTAAAAAAAAAATTCTCAATTAAAAAAATTCCAGCACTTCTAATTGATTGTGTCTGGGAAATTTCAGTATACCTTACAGAAAACAGGTGCCTTATGCTTTAGTATCCTGTAGTGGAGATAACCTACAAGCCCTATTAAACTATTGTTGATTTAGTGCACTTAACACATTTAGGGTTGAACTATACAAACTTTTAGAAACAAAGAAGATCCAACTCTCATTTTACACAGATTTATTTAAAAAGCAAACTTTCAACACCAGCAATTATTAAGACAACCACACAATGATGATTTCACCTATATGCCATACAATAGTGTCAATCCTACAAAAGTTAAACCATTGTCTATTAGCAAGTCACACAGATAGCCATTTGTACAGCCACAGAAAGGGGAAAAAAAAAAAAAAGAAAAAAAAACTGCAAAACTGATGTGGTCAACGACAATAAACATTGTAGAATTGTAACAAGCACGGTTAGTCTTGATAACACCACTGGTGAAGGAGATGCTCACAAATAAATCCATAACAATCATGCTGCAAGAAAGAAAACCAGTAAATCTAGAGTTTAACGAATGAAAAGAGGTAAAGTAGAAGACTGTCCAGTACAATAACTTACATTGACAGTAGTAGGTAATCTTCAGGTACTTGCGTGTGCCAGCACACGGATCAGAGAAGACATCATTGGTTGCAGTTAAGGAGCAGCGTCTTCTCCCATCACATCTACGTGAGAATGAAAGAGTTTAACAAATGAACAACATCCACCCACATTTGTCAAGTGTTAGTCAGACTCTGGACATCACTAGACACTCAAATAGTGCTTTCAAAACCAAAAATGTAATTTTATATAGTGCTACAGATCATTAACATGAAACTAGTTAAGTAATGGACAATTGCCTGCCATAGAATTTGAGAACTGCTCAATCTGTACCTTTGAGACACAAGATCCAGTGTGTTTTGTGAATAACAGTTGGTGTTCAGACGCCTTCTGAATGGTGGTCTTCTCAAGCAGGTAGTACCATCTGTACGTCCATAGTTCGCAGCAATCACCTTAATCCTACCATTACCTATGGAGATATTCGATTACACAGATGAAGGCATCCTTATACATGGACAAGCAGAGTATTGGAAATGCAGCTCACCACATCTTAAGAGCCCGCGTTCATCTTCACAAATCTCAATTGTTTCTGGAAGACATTAGTAAAAAGGTTACAGGTTTGCAGAAAAGAAATTAACTGAAAGAGACAAACCATCCATACTTGCTGGAATACAAATGTAGGTGGTGGTGTAATGAGTGAAAAAACAACGATGTGGTCTTCCAATTTTTTCCTTGTTTATCATACATGTCGCCTGACCATTACACCTGTTTGAGGATTAAAGTAAACATCAGTAACTGAAATCTTCCAGAGGAAGACTACTTAATGCCTTAATCTGGAGTAATAAGTGAAGGGAAAAAAAAAAAAAAAAAAAAAAAAAAAAATTCTTACCATTTAGGTATAATAGGAATCTCTCTTAAACACCTAGCAGGATCGGTTTCAAAATGTGGCCTTCCAGGGCCACAAAGGCGGGTGCTTCGCCAACCAAATCTTGCTGACTTTACAAAGATCACACCATCATCTTTATAAAAAGAAAACAAAATAAAATAAAATCTTTAAAAAAAAAAAAAAAAAAAAAAAAAATTATACATCAGCTTTAAGTTATGACTGCATCTTACCACAACTGAGACTAAGGTCAGAATCCAAACATGTTGTTTCAGTGTCTGGAACGATAAATAGATAAGTTATTGAAGGCTCTGAATAGGTTTGGTATAAATACAGGTTGATTCGTCTGCTCCTGAATAGGGAGCTCGGAAATGTCACTGCGGTCACCAAACTTCCCAGCTCATATTAAGGCATGCACAACATGTTGGACATTTTTATCTTGATATTAAATAATAATAAAAAAAAAAAAATGCATTCTAGTTTCAGCAAGTCAATTTGAGCAAGAGACCAACAAGTCAAATATCACTATAAGTTAATAAAAAAACAAGTGGTTTCAAGTCTGTGACTTAAACCCAAAGGCAAGTGCATAACATCAATTTATATCAACTTGTTAGCAAACTCTAGAACACTTACAATCTAATTCCGAACCCTGGATGGCTGGAATAGCAGAAACAGATATCAGCAAGCCACAGCTCAGAAGCACTACTAGAAGACAAAAACAGAAAGAGCTCACCCCTGTATTGTTACTCACATCATACTTGTTACATTTGATTTAAAATTAAACCCTTATCATAATGGTTGCACTGCTACACATTAACAACCACTGTACATATACCTATAAATTTAATAAGAAAACATACATGCACTAACAACACCTAAAGAACCCATGATTCTGCTGTCTTCACCAACTGTGTGTTTAAGCTTTACTGGTTCATATTTATAGGCCAATGCTCTAAGTGTTAATGAGCAACACCTGTGCACCACACCAGTCTCCAGTTCTAGAGGTTAATGAGGACTGATGATGTATTAATCTGCTCCGACTCATGCCACGGTCACACTCAAGTTTGAGCAAGCGAAATCTGTAGTACGGCCATATGTATTAAAGTAGAGATCGCCTACGTTATTGTTGTCTATTGGAAGGAACGCGTCAATAGAGCCGCCGTCTTAGTACACGGTAGCGCTCCTTTAAAATAAATAAGGGACCAAGGTGCAGTAGATGACTATCCAGCCAGAGATATATGAACATAAATACATATATTCATGATCGTGAGTTCATAAATATATTTTAAAATATATAATTTTTATTAATTATGTATTTAATAATTTGACTTTTTTTTTTTACATCGATGGATGAGTGATCGCATGGGCATTGCTGACAATGAGTGTGTGTTTGTGTGCATGGAAATGTATTATCCACTCTCCCTGTTAAATTTGATCTGATCCATGTCCTGAAAAACACCCCCTCTCCTGCTTTCACTTCTCATTCTAAAGATGCGTTAACAGTGGGCTTTTCCTCCCATAGACTTCCATTCTTACGCACACGAATGCGTCAGTCCAGAGACGCAGGGTCATGTGTCAAGTTTCGCAGGTTGTTGCAGCGCAACGTTCAAGCTTGGTGACCTGCGAAAACGCATCACTAGACTGCGTGAGACCAATAGAAGATCAAAACATGACATCTCTTGACAGAAATGTAAAATATGTAGCAATCGCTTGCTTTTTAAATGTCTAATCATCTTGTTTAATCCCACCCCCTTTCGCAGAGCCGTACGACAGAATTTCACAAACTCAAACTCTGGTGTGACCACAGCTTAATAGGGAGCGATTAGTTTGTGAAAGAATGCCGTTATGAACGATTCAGTTAGCCGATAATAATACAAGTTTCTGGCAGCGCAGCATCTTGTTGTCTTATTAATTTTTGGCTGATATTATTCAACAAAAATAGCATAAGGCAGTAAGTTGGTGCTGCTTTGCCTTATGATCAGTGCAGTAAGCGACTATATTATCATCAATAACTTGAGCACAAAAGCACAAAATATGTTCTGTCTTGTTTGCTAGTTACTACATCCGTACACAGCGCTAAATTCCCACATCTTCACATTGGCTTTAGTCTTGACTAGTGCTTGCTGAATGACTTCTGTCCTGGGAGAACAACAAAAATAGCGGCACTATTGATGCTTACTCAGGAGCCGTATGCGATATCTAGTGTATATATCTATGGTACAGCGCTGCGAAAAGAGGCAAAATTATACAAGGTATTAGACATTTTGAAAAGTGAGCGATTGGTCCATATTTTAATTTTCTGTCCAGAGAGGTCATGTTTTGATGTTATTTTAGTTAGACATCAGCAGGCCACAGTTCAGTAGTACTACTAGAAAACAAAACAGAACTGATAAGGAGACTGGTGCACTGCTAATCTCACACACATTCACATTATTGCTTAAAATGTATTTCAAAAACGAACTTTTCTCATCTCTTTTGTAGAGCTACACATTAAAACTCACTTACAGGCACCAACAATACAAAGAAAACCCATGGTTTTGCTATTTTCACCAGTGGAGTGTCGCATTTGCTGATTCATATTTATAGGCCAGTGCTGTGAGTGTTGATGATGGCAGTGGCACCCCCAAAAAATGTTCCTAGGGGTGGCCAGAAGAGGCCACACCAAACTTTAGGGTGGCACACAAAAAATTATTTAAATTAGTGTAATGTAAAATTTTAGTTTCTGGTAAATTAAATAATGTGATTTTAATTCATTTAATTAATTATTCTTACAACATTGCATTTTATTCCTTGAAATAATTCAGCAAGTACATGTGCAAACCAAATAGAAATCAATATTTAGTTTTAAAACATTTTTCATATATATATATATATATACACACACACACACATATATATATATATATATATATATATATATATATAAATAAAACTTTTCATTTATTTATCACATACATTTATTGCACAGCATACAGTATATGCTATGTCTAAAATTAATGAATTAATAAAACAAAGAAAAACTTAAAAGGCATAACTATACACGCACAACGTATATATGTGTGTGTATACAGACGCTAATATCATTATACTGATAATATATACAGACACTAATAATATAATTTATTAATATCTTTTTGAGCCATTTTATTTAATGCAGCTTCTTTTGAAGAAGGTAAATATTACAATGTCATTACTGTATGTTGAAGTTGTGTGCGTGCATGTTGTCAACATCAATGAGGAAGTGCAGTGGTGGTACTAGATTAAATGACACCCTGGAGGAAATCACCCCATATACCCCACCCCCCTTAAATAGTTATATTTATTTTTCAATAAATAAAAGAAATTTTAAATTAATATTAAAATTATTATACAATAAATATTTTAAATAAATAACAGACATCAATCCTAAAATATTACTGGAAAACAATGTAACCAACTGGAGTGATATACCAAAAAAAATCAAGAAATCTTTTGCACGAATATTAGTTATGACAATTCTATAGAATACAAAAGTGTGTTTTATAAAATTATTTGCGGACTTAAACCCATATTTTGGCAGATAATTAATGTTATGAAGAAACAATTAATTTGTTAGTGCAAAGGTACAGTACATGTATATAAACAAATTCATTGACTTCAGAATTGTGGGTAAACAGGTAATTGTCAACAGGCTTTAAGAGGACCAACACCATTTAATTAAGATTTATTGGAAGCAAAACTCAAAACACAGGGACAATAGGAACAACCACAGTAAGAGCAAATACATATCATGTTAGCCTACAACAATAAAAATTGTAGCCATTTGTAACAAACATGATTAGTCTTTACAACGGTGGCTTCATGCATTCTTGATACAGACAGAAGTTGAGACGCTATCAAGATCAGTCATGATGATGTGCTGCAAAGAAATGAAAAAAAGCAAATTAAAGGGTGAGAAAAAAAAAAAAAAAAAAAAAAAAAAAAAAAAAAGACACTTTACAATTACTTACATCGACAAGTGTAGGTAATCTCGAGGTACTTGCGTGTGCCGACACAGGGATCAGAGAAGACATCGTTGGAGGCAAACACTGAGCAGTGTTTTCTCCCTTCACATCTGTGAGAGGGTGGAAGCAAGGTTAACATTGATATAGCGTTCACTTAATTTGTCAAGTTACAATCCTTGGACATCACTACAGTCACCTTAGAATTATAAGGTTCTGACATTGCGCTAACTCAAATTTGACCACTTAATAGTTTACTTGCATTAAGACTTAAAGGGAGGGAAAAAAAAAAAAAAAAAAAAAAAGTTTGCTATATGGAAAGCAAAAAAAAAAGCTTAATCTCAAAATCATCCAGAACACAGATAGAACCTTATTCAAAGGTGACAATACATTACCAGAGACCAATTTACAAGTAAAAGCTCTTTTTAAAATGGTTTTGTTGAGGCACGGGTCTAAAATCCAGATCCTGGAGAGCCACAGCTCTGTAGTTTAGCTTGAACCTCTATTAAAAACCTGATCAATCGGAGTCTGTTTGGCTTGTTTGAAACCTACAGGAAAGTATTTTAAAGCAGGGCAGGACCAAAACTGTGCCTAGTTACAGCCCTCCAGGAACTGAATTTGACACTATTAAAGGGCTACAGGAACATAAACCCAAGTACCTTTGCAGATTTGCACTTTCCTTGCTTTAACTGGGGAAAACACCCAGTTGAAAAGGAGTGAGTAGTTTGCTCAATCCATACCTTTTTGACACAAGATCAAGTGTGTTGGGTGAGTAGCAGTTTGTGTTCAGGGGCCGCCAGTATGGTCGTCTTCTCAAGCAGGTGGTATCGTCTGTACGTCCATAATTTGCAGCAAGTATCTTAATCCTACCATGTTCTATGGAGATGAATGAATGCATTCCTTATTAATTTTATTTAATTTATTTTATTATTTAATTTTATTATTTTATTTTATTAGGGTCCTAATACAGAGATAACAAAATATTGAAAATCTAGCTCACCACATCTTAAGATTTCACGGTCACGTTCACAAACCTTAATAGTCTCTGGAAAACAACAGAGGAAGGTTACAGGTTTGCAAAGATAAGGAAAATTCATTGGAAAAGACAAACCATCCATACTTGCTGGGACACAAAAATGGGTGGTGATGTAATGAGTGTGAAAACAATGATGTGGTCTTGCAATCCTTTCCTTGTTGATCATACACTCCGCTCGTCCATTACACCTGTTCAGGAATAAATACAACTCACTTCCAAATAAAAATAAAATTAAAAAAAAAAAAAAAAACTAAGCATAAATAAGCCAATAATCTGGAATCATAACAGAAGAACCAACCATTCAGGTACTAGAGAAATTTCTGGATAACACCTATCAGGATCTACTTCAAAACGAGACCTTGCAGGCCCACAAGTGCGGGTGCTCCGCCAACCAAATCTTGATGACTTTACGAAGATAACACCATAATCTTAAAAGAACAAAAAAAAATCTCATTTTAAAACCGCAGTATTACATTGATCAACTTTAATATAACATGACTAGATCTTACCACAACGGAGATGAAGGTCTGAATCCAGACATGTAATTACAGTGTCTGGGAAGAGGAAAAAATAAAACGCCACATTCTGACAATCCAGTTTGAGTGAGACCATTAAAGTTAATCACATTAAAATGAGGCAAAAATAAATAAGTAGCAGGTGTTTAAAGTCTCATAGATAAAAATTTTAGCCTACATTTGTGACAAACAAGAGAAGTTAATACATTAGATCAAATTAATGTTAACTTGCTAGCAATTTCCGGAACACTTACGATCATATGGTGATGGAAAGGCCATCAGCAGACCACAGTTCATAAGCACCACTAGAAAACAAACACAGAAAAGAACTCAGAAGAGAAACCAGTTGCATGGCTAATCCCACCTTATACTTGTTAGAGAAATTAAGTCAAATGTGAAATTTTCTCATATCAGTCAAACACTAAAACATTGATAATCAATTCATTATCAACTTAATTAAACCTCTTACAGGCAAGACAAACACGAAGATAGTCCATTGTTGGGCTGTCTCCATCACCTGTGTGGTTAAACTTTCCTGATGCATATTTATAGACCGGTGCTAATGAATGACACCTGTGCACCGCACCGGCCTCCAGTCCTGGAGGATAACGAGGACAATCTGAAAATGTATGAAGCTGCAGTCACACGTTTGGCTGCGTTCGAAACCGCATACTCAAGAGTAGGTACTCAATTTCAAAAAGTACTTACTTAACGAGGACTAAAAGAGTAGGCACTCAACAGCCTAATCTGGTTGAGTATGAATAGGATCGTACCACATCCGCCATGTTTACTTTATCATGTGACAACATGACGTTGGAAGCGCAACAACTTTAAAGAAATTGCAGGTTTAATAAATCTTTATTTAAAAGAATATATTTAGTTTTTAAAAGTTCACATGAATTTGTTGTTGTCTTTATTGTTTGTATAACATTTTTCATCCACAAGTAACCTGCTTAAATCTCGTATGTTTTTCTGACTTGTTCATTATTCAACGCAGATATTTAACCTTCTCATTGTGCATTTGTGTGCATATAATCTCATTTATCACAAGAAACCCATTACATTTACGTATTTATTTTGTTAATTGTAAACAATACAACCATGTTTTTCAGATCCTGTATAAATTATAAGTTATATAATTATTAACAATTATAACAATCCTATATTAATAAATAAGTTAACAGGGACAGAAGCACCTTGCATCAGTAACATGGCAAATCTACGTAATATATTTCAACGCCTTTTTCTTATATATATATATATATATATATATATATATATATATATATATATATATATATATATATATATATATATATATATATATATTTATATATGAGCAATATCACACGAGTAGCAGTGCGATATTGCTGTATATCGGCACTGGTGGGAGGCGTGCGTTGGTCATCTGAGACCTACAACACTGTACATTGAGGATATTTATAATAAGTTTCAAATATAGATGTAAATTTAAAAAAAAAGACGATGTCAAAAACTCCACAATAGTTTCAGACTTCCTCATCTGATGTGGAGAGACCAGCTTGTCTGAGCAAAGCCTTTAGGAGGCGAATCTCAAGTCATTGGCCTTTGTTTGCTGCATTTTGGTCAGAGCCAGTTGTTTCTCTGCCAGACGAAGCTGTACTTCTGCTCTTTCAGTCTGTTTTTGCAATTGTTGATAGTGATATCAAAAATCAGCAATTGCCATTCTTTGCAATTTTTTTTTCTTTGCAATTTGTTATTCTGTAATCATTGCATGCATCACTAAATATATATATATATATATATATATATATATATATAAATTATTGACAGAATAAAATTAATTGTTTTTGGTCAATTTTGACAGCTGTTTGGGGGATTATTTTATGAGGTCAAGCTATTTCTACTTTGCTGTAGGCCTATACTGAAAGCCTAAATTCATTAAAGCCTATACTCACTAAAGCCTGACAGATGAACAAATAAAGTTAAAACCTTATGAATAAATAGTATATCTCGTAAGATACTGCATGATCCAAAAATAGTATTATTTAATACATTTTTTAAGTTTTCGTTACATTTTGGGCATGAAATCCACGCTAAATCCACCCTTCTGATGGGATCAGTTTAATCCAGGTTTTTTAGATCAAAGTGATCCAGATGCTACAAAAAAGGTCTGAAAAACCCAAAGTAAAGGTTTGATCCAGATCAAAACCAAGATTGGATTACGTGATCTAATCTGATAAGGTAATCCGTTTTTTCTTTTGAAAAACCCATTTTCAAGATTTAATCCAATCCCTTATGCAAAATCCCAGTGGATTACTTTTGAAAAACTGGGTCCTGGGGTCCATTCTTCGTACCTCTCTTAAATGATCTAAGAAGATTTGGCAGATCCTGGATCTGTTCATCTTGATAACTGATCTCTGGCTAATTTGGTTCTTCAAACAAGTTCGCAAATCAGATTAAAATGTCTGGATGAACAGATGAGAACGCTGCGTGTGTTCTGAAGGACAGATCTATCGATTCACGAAATCATGATCAAGAATGCAATGATTGGCTGACGGCACAGCTGCGTAATGACATCATCTAATTGATATTCAATTTTCCATGTGAGCAAAATGACATAAAATTAGCAATAAACGGTTGGTTAAATATGATGCACAAATTACTTTCCACATAAGCTGCAAGCTTTACACTTTCATGTGTCAAGAGCATTCATCATGTATTTCAATGCATATCAGTGTATTTAGTTCTACATTTAGAGATTTTCTTTATTATAGTAGCCTAGGCCTACTAAAAATTTTTTTTAATCGATGTTAGGAATAATTGTATAAAATAAATTTTGCATCAAAAAAGCATTTTTTTTTTTTTTTATCGGTAAAGGTGTCTGCAACTTTTGCGAAGCATCAATTGATTTAAATCACTGGTATATTAGCGGTCAAAACACGTGCATGAATGCATAAATTATTATCATTAAAAACAAATTTGAATATTGTGTATGTATGCGTTTGTTCTTCTTGAACCACCAGTCTTTGTACTTTATTTTACAGTGCAGATTGCATAAGTTTTATTTATGTTTTTTTTTTTTTTACTTTGTATATATAGTTAAAAATATATATTTACTAACTTGCCAAGTGTATATAACTACTGTAAGAAAACATTATCATTTGTATCATCAGTATTATCTTTGCTTGAAACGACCCAATCTAATCCTGTTTATATGAAATGAACCTGCTCCCGACCAGGTTTGAGCTACCAGAACTGTTGCTATGACAACTCTTAAATGAGTTTTGAAAAACGAAACTATCCTGGATCGTGTCAAATCATCAACATCCAAATCCAGCTAATTGACTAATCCACCAACGAAAAACAGACCCCTGCTCTAGTGTGACTGCAGCATTACAGCAAATAATATTGTATTTTTAGAATTATTTATCTTTGTTTTTACAGTAATGTATACATGTACTGTAAAATATTCAGTAATGTTCACAATGCAATTTTAAATTACAGCAACAGTGCATAAGTGTCCTACAGTAAAATTCAGTTCATACAGTTAAATACTGTAACTTAAACACATTGTTGCTTTGTTACTTCCACCCTAATAGATTAACAGTTTTTCCATGCCCCGTCATACTTCAGTTTCTCACCAAATCTTGATAAATCAAATGCTCTCTAGTATCGGACACCTTTAAATATGCTTGTTTGCCTTTCATTTGATGCGTTTAAACTCAAGTAGTCTCACTAGCAGAGCTGTGATAAAACCAAACTACTGGCTGTTATAATTCTATGATAATTAAAATATTTAATCCATTAACCAGAAACCCTAAGTTCAGAAAGTAGGAAATTTAGTAAACAAAAGCCTCATTTCTTTTAAGAATTTATTGAATGTAGAACACAAGGTCCATGACAATAAGTGTGTGAAAAGAGACTGCACACCACAGTGCTAATGTTATGGAAATTAGTGGAATTCTGTATTTGGTTGACAGCCAATGATGAGATGTAGGAAATTGGTCCAAATCCATAAGATCAGCCATCGTTCTGCAAGAAAACATGTAGACAGATCAACAGCAAATAAAAGACTAAAACCGAAAGTGCCACTTGACAGTCCTTTAAAATAACTTACATGAACAGTAGTAAGAGATCCACAGGTACTTGCGTGTACCAGAACACGGATCAGAGAAAACATCATTGGAGGCGGATACAGAACACAGACGGGTGCCTTCACATCTACAAACAAGATTAAAACAATGTCAAAGATACGATTTTAGTATGTGAACGCTTCTAAACTGACCCATTAGCGAACAGTTAATGCAGAGGCCATGTCCTAATTCATATTAATCAAAATAACGTTCTCAACCCTTGAAAGGGTTGAAAAGACAAATTTACCCACATTTGTCAAGTAACAGGTCAAACCCTGCACATCACTCAAACTAATGAAAAGTGCACCTCAAGTGTTACTTCAACATTACTTTCAGAATCTGAAGAGGTCCCTTGTTAATAAAAACCACAAGTGAACCCGAAATATAACTAAATCCATTTGCTCAATACCGTTTTGTCACAAGAGCCAACGATTTGGGTGAATAGCAGTCTGTGTTTAGATGTCGCCTGAATGGACGTCTTTGCAAGCAGGTTCTGTCATCTGTACGTCCATAGTTTGCAGCAATTATCTTAATCCTACCATATTCTACAGAGGGGAAATAAAATAAGTGCATTTTTAAATGAAAGTTTGACCTGATATTGAAGCAATAAGATCACTTGAAATACAGCTCACCACACTTCAAGCCACTCTGTTTGCCTTCACAAGTCACACTTGTTTCTGGAAGACATTGAGGATGGTTACAAGTTTGCAAAAAGAAAATAAAGAACTGGAAGACAGAAAAAAAACAGCTATACTTGCTGGGATGCAAGTGTAGGTCGTGATGTAGTATTTGTAGGGGTTAAAACATGGATCGTTCTCTAAAAGTTTTTTCTTGTTTACCACACACTCCGCTAATCCATTACACCTGTGTGACAACAATGCAAGAAAAATAAGACTTAAGCTGCGTCCCAAATGGCACACTATACACTCATGCACTATGTACTTATGCACTTACACACTCAACAGGATAGTATATGTATGTCGTCCCAAATGGCACACAAATGTTTTTTTACTAAGCGGAAATTCAAACCGTTTCCCTGATGACGTTTGACGGTTGCCAAATCAGTGAAATAAACGACCGAATTATCAAATAATACCTGCCGTGAGTGTAACTGCATTCACCATTGGGAGGCGCTATAATCACTCTCGTAGGAGAATTTTGCTTTCACCATCCAAAATAAATAAAGTTATTCAACATGTGTGTCCGATAGCTCCGCCCCTTCCGCTACATTAGCTAAACTGCGGTCGTTGAGTGCGTGAAGTGTCCATCATTACACACTACATTTTAACGGCTGAATGAGTGCATCATCCGGCTAATTAAAGTGCACTTATTATTTTTAGAATTTTCAGTGTGAACACACTACTTACACTATTTATACTACAAAATGGCGTAGAATAGTGCATAAGTATGCAATTTGGGATGCAGCTTTAATTTCTATAATCCAGGTTCTTAAGGAGGGGCGTTGGGGGTGTATCCTTACCATTTAGCAGCTGGAGGAAGTTTAAAACACATAGCATACATTTCGTCTGGTGGCGTTGCAGGTCCACAACCTTTAAGTTTTTGTGGTCCTAGCTTTACAGACTTCACAAGGATCACTCCAGCATCTTAAAAAAATAAATAAAATACATAAGGCAGTATACAGCCTACAAGTTGGAGCCATAATAGATTGACCACATCTTACCACAACGAAGATGAAGGTCAGAATCCATGCATGTATTTACAGTTTCTTAAAAGAAAAAAAAAAATCATTTTAAACAGTCCCTTGGGATTGATTTTCAAGCTTTGAATAAGTATAAAGCTGAGACTTTTAACTCATCTATTCTGTGTGGTCAGGACACTAAACACACGTCTAGTTTAAATCAGCACGTGCATCATGTGCATCTTCTTTTGGGAAAATCATTTAATGCAAATGTGCAGTGAATAAATCACTTCATAAAATAAATGTAAAATCCTCAAACTGTCATTTTAAAGTATAAAACGAGCAAAAGTATCAAGTACATTACAGTAAAAATCAAACGAGTAACTCGTATGATAAGAAAACTAAGAAACATTCTCTATCCAAAGGCAAAATGTAATTCACAGCACCTGCAGATATCCGCTGACTGCAGCTCAAAAGCACTACTAGAAAACATAACACAAGAAAACTGATTAGGACACTTTTACCCCGCTAATCTCGCACACATTCATGATATGGGCTACAAAACAATTAAGAAAGAAACACATCAATCACATAGCTACATAACATTGTGTTGGCATCTGCCTTCTTAATTTTTACGAACTAACAGGCAAGAATGGCACAGAGAGAAACCATGTTTCTGTTGCCTTCAACACTGTTGTGCATAGCCTTGACTGATTCATATTTACAGGCCAGTGCTTTGAGGGTTAACGAGCCACACCTGTACATCACACCAGTCTCTAGTCATTGAGGATAACGAGGACTGGTGAGAGACAAACAAGACACAAGAAGAGTTGCTTTATGAAATTATAACTAATTAAGTAGGGGTGATGCAGTGAGTAGAACATTCGCCTCTCAGCAAGAAGCTCGCTGGTTTGAGCCTCGGCTGGGTCAGCTGGCATTTCAGTGTGGAGTTTTCAATTGGATAAGCTAAATTGGCCATAGTGTATGAGTGTGTATTGATATTTCCCAGAGATAGAAGCAGCTGGAAGGGCAGCAGCTGCAAAAAAAACATATTCTGGATAAATTGGCGGTTCATTTCGCTGTAGTGACCCCAGATTAATAAAGAGACTAAGTCGAAAAGAAAATGAATGAACAAACTAATAAAGTAATATGTTCTGACTCAATGGCAACAATGGGTTTAAAGTTGTTTAAACTAAAATGATTGAATAACATGAATAACAGTGTAAACTGTTAGGAATCTTTTGTGTGTGTTGTTGTTACGTGGGTATAATTACATGGGGGAATTCAAGGTAACGAGGCGGCAGACAAAATTGTTAAATATTCGATTAAGATAGGCGACGAAGTGGTGCAGTAGGTACTGTTGTCACCTCACAGCAAGAAGGTTGCTGGATCAAGCCTCGGCTCAGTTGGCGTTTCTGTGTTGAGTTTGCATGTTCTCCCTGCATTCGCTTGGGTTTAGTCCGGGTACTCCAGTTTCCCCAACAGTCCAAAGACATGTGGTACAGGTGAATTGGGTAGGATAAATTGTCCGTAGTGTATAAGTGTGTGTGTAATTGAGTTTGGATGTTTCTCAAAGATGGGTTGCGGCTGGAAGGGCATCCGCTGCGTAAAAAACGTGCTGGATATGTTGGCGGTTCATTCTGCTGTGGAGACCCCAGATTAATTAAGGGACTAAGCCGTCAAGAAAATGAAAATTAATTCGATCAAGATGAATGAATGGATCAAGAATAAATGTGTCACTCAGTATCAGAGGAACAACATTTAATTTTAAAAGCATGCAATAGGAAAAATAAAGAAAAATAATTCACAATTTAACTAGAAGAGATCCAGATATTTTTATATTTCTATGTGGGGCATGTTTGAATGCTGGTTCTTTACTGGACAGACCAGCACTGTCTTTCAACTTATACATTATAGTGTAAACCTTTGCCATCACAGAAACGTTCATAATTTAAAAATTACACATATATTGGAATGATAAAGTTATTTTAGTTCCAAAATGTCTCACAAACTCACTGCTGCATTTGATTAAATGCAGGCAAGGTCAAGTTCACACTCCATGACTAACTTTCAATTCAATTTACCTTTATTTGTATAGCGCTTTTACAATGCAGATTGTGTCAAAGCAGTTTCACATAGAAGTTTATTGTAAATTGAAACTGTCAGTTCAGTTAACTAAAAAGATAAGTCTTTAATCTAGTTTTAAATTGCGAGAGTGTGTCTGAGCCTCGAACATTATCAGGAAGACTATTCCAGAGTTTAGGAGCCATAGATGAGAAGGCTCGACCTCCTTTACTCGACTTTGCTATTCTAGGTACTACCAGAAGCTCTGAGTTTTGAGATCTTAAAGAGCGGGTTGGATTGTTGAAAGGAGAACACACACACACACACACACACACACTATGTGATTGTCCCTCATGTAAACGAGCACCAGTTTGGTTTGGATTTCAGACTTTTGTCAGCAATTTTACAAAATCATGTCATTGACAAAAATCAGAGCTAAAATAATAAATAACCATGAACTCGACATTAGCATTATGCTTTACAAATGTTAGTAACAGGCTCTTTTAGCTCTCAATAGTAAGAATATCATGCTAAATTTAATGCCACTTTTGGCAAGCTTAGATCCCAACATTGCTGCCAAACATGACCACATGTTCCATCGAGATTTCAAATATCTTTACATATGAAAAATAATTAAAATTTTAAGGATATATATAGGATATAATAAGGATAAATAGGATATAAATATAAAGGATTAAAATATTACAAAAAGTATCATTTTCTAGCTTACAAAAATATAAAAACTTTACTTTCATGCCTTCAACTCGCAGGGCTTTTTCAGTTTATTCATAACAATTTGCTTTTGTATAATGTTATTATTATTATTAGCAGTATTATTTATTATATGCATATTTATATGTGTTTTATTAAAAACAAGCTTAGATTTGTCCACCTGTCAGGTTTTAGACCATATGGGGCACAGCATGTTTATTTGGATATAACTTCGTTATTATTGTTCATTTATTTGTTTGCTGGAAATTAGAATTTAGAAATGGTTTTGAAACACAGCACTTTGTGCTTAACAAACAAAATGAATTATTGACAGGCTAATGTCTGCGCGTACAACACGTTTCCCTATCCTTGAGAGTGAAAGCGAAAGTAAACAATGAAAAGGCTCATCTCTCATTCTGGCGCTGTAGATCCTCTGTTTAACTAGTTTTCTCTCTAGTGAAGTGTTCAGTTGTTCCACTTACAAAGTCCGCCATGTAAATAGCAAATGCCCTATGGCGGGGCGCAACTGGCTCCTAAAGGGAAAGGGAGATGAGACTCTGATTTGTTTTGTTTTTTTCTCAAATCCCACATATAACTCATTAAGAGAATAAGCTCAACCCTGTTAGACCATGTTACCACAACAGAGATGGAAGTCAGAAATTCCACACGTCATTTCAGTATCTGTAAAAAGAAAGAAAGAAGTCCAGCTCAAGTCAATAACTCAGTTTTAAATTAGTTAATTTCTTTCAAAGTTTAAAGTCTTAATAAGTTAAATGTAGATACATCTAATCTTGAGTTTGCGGCTACACAGTAACATGCTTTATGTATCTGACGTTTCATATACCAATCTCTTTTTTCCCTCCATTTCACTGCAAGTTAGACCAAACAAAAATTTAAATGATAGTTTTAAGTTTCCTTTATGGTTCAAAATTATTAAGTGTACAGATTTGTCATTTTGGGACAAAACATAAATCATGAAATAATGACTAATAACATGAAATAAATTATTCATACAGCAGTAACTAAGTCAAAAAACACTTACACTGATCTACAGCTCACACTTGACTTTTCTCCGCATAGACTTACATTCATACGCACGCAAATGCGTCAGACCGGAAACGCAGGGTCATGCATTAAGTTTCTCAGTTTGCTGCGGTGCAAAGTTCAAGCTTGGTGAACTCTGACCTGCAACATTACGTCACTTGACTGCACGAGACCAATCGAGGATCAAAACTCTGGACAGAAATTTGAAACATGGAGCAGTCACTGGGTTTTATACATGTCTAGTAATTTGTTTAATCCCGCCCCTTTTTGCAGCATCGTACGACCGATTACCGCACACACAAACTCTAGTGTGACGGAAGCTTAATATTTATCACTTTTGAGTAAGATGCTAATCATCTAATCCAATAAAATAATTGATATAAAGCTAAAAGTGCTCCTCACTGGCTGAATAGAGATTGGCCCAAAGAAAGAAACTAGAACTAATAAGCCACTAAACATAAAATGGTTAAGTTTTCTTTTAAGATCATGCTGGAAGATTGGCAAAAGCATGTAAAAGAGATGTGTACCTGCAAAAGACATCACTCAGTCTGAAATGTGTGAGTTGGGGAAGCGTGTCTGGGGATGTTTTCTGTCTACAGTCTGGATATCCACAGTCTGATACTCATTGATTTGCCATGGTGGTCACTTTTGACCAGGAACATCACAGGTGTACAGTAACAAAGTTGACCAAACCTGTCAACTCGATGAAGGAGGTTATCACTTTTCTATGTTCAAGTGCATAGTGTGGAGGATGGTAAAACGCCTTAAGGCACAGGTGTCAAACTCAGTTCCAAAAGGGCCGCAGCTCTGCACAGTTTAGTTCCAACCCTAATCAAACACACCTGATCAAACTAATTGAGTCCTTCAGGCTTGTTTGAAACCTACAGGTAAGTGTGTTGGAGCAGGGTTGGAACTAAACTGTGCAGTGCTTCAGCCCTCCAGGAATTGAGTTTGACACCCCTGCCTTAAGGCAATCAGATGTAAAACGCAATATTTGAGTGTTTTAAGTTGTGACCCGAACACAACACGAAGGTTAAGATGACTAAACCATGAATAAAATTTTCACTCAGTAAATCAAAGAGAAATCATTTTATTTTAGAAACCTCAGTGAGAAATGGCAGTGTGCTATGGGGTTGGCAATATTACATGATGATCTCGCGTGTTATTAAAATACAATGCATATAAAAAGAAACCTTCCAATACTGCAGAATAACACATACTAGAATCCACTATTTTAATTCCAATTACTCAAATTTGATAATTTCATAAGTATTAGAGCCAATTTGGGGATGATTGCAAGGACCGATGGAGGAACTTGGCCTGGACACTACAGATACACCCCTACGCTTTCTGAGAAATACCATGGGACTTTTAATAATCACAGAGAGTCTGAAGACCTTTGTTTGTCTCATCCGAAAGACAGTGCTCACTGACAGTATAAAGTCCCCTTCACTTTAGCAGGGCATTAAGACTCCTAATGCAAGTAAAGCACCCCTTATTGACCTCACCAACACCTTTCCCAACAGCAACCTAGTTATTCCATGTAGTCGCGCATCTAGGTACCGATGATAGGTAATGCAATAATCTCCCAAAGAAAAGAGAAGGGGAAAAAAAAATAAATAGACAGTATTTTTATGAGTTTAAAGATTGACAATATTTTAACATTACATCTTTTGGCAGCAATTTGGCATATAAATAAATAACACACTATACTAATTGTTAAGTAAATATTTATACTAATTGAAACCAAACTATTTAAGTCTTGATACTTTTTCCATCCATTTAATAAAAAAAAAAAAAAAAAACTTTTCCATTAAGAGGATTTATTGAAAGCAACCTCCCAAGACCATGACAATAGGAACAGCCACAGTAAAGAAAAAAAATAAATAAATAAATCCAGAACATGGTCTGTCAACTAGAATAAACATTATAGCCATTTGTAACAAACATGGTTAGTCTTCAAAAGATGTCTTAATGCATTGAAAGAGCCAGTGGTTGAAGAGATGCTCACAATTGAAATCTAGAACCACAAAAGAGATCAGCGATCATATCCTGCAAAGAAACAAGAGTTAATTAGCCAAAAAGAAAAAAAAAAAAAAGAATTAACCTCTACAATAACTTACCAGCACAACCAAACACGACCTTCAGGTACTTGCGTGTGCCAATACACGGATCAGAGAAGACATCGTTGGAGGCAGCCAGGATGCAATGCCTTCCTGCACAACTGTGTGAGGGTGGAAGGGGTGTTTAAACATGACATGGATAGGATTTATCCACAGGGTTAAGGCTCCTACACACCGGGCAGCTTTTCGTTTGCGTTTAATGAGAGGTTTTAGCATATTCAAACCTAAGCGATTTTCACTGGTGTCAGGTAGAGTATGCAAAAATCACTCCTTGACATTAGATGGCGCTACTCAACTTTAAGCTTCTGACACCAGCTTATAAACACAGAAGAAGAGGACAGAAAGTTCACACGGTTTTTAAAGTTACTAGTGACTCGAACAAGTATGGATGGTTTAAGCAGCAGCTCCAGTGATGAAGAAATGATTGTTCACCAGTGCAAAAAACAACTTCGTTTATAATCACCTCTGGGCATCTTCTTCAATGTGTGCTCGCATTGACAGTTTTGCGCATGAGCACCTCTAAGTGGTGTTTACTGTAACTTCAGCACCTCTATGCACGCATGCAAAAGTGCCGATCTAATTGGAGAAGAGTTCAACGTGGAGCATTTAAAAAAAATTAATAAATAAAAAAAAAAAAATAAAATGAGGCGTTTATTTTTTTAATTTTTTTTAAAACCTGGCGTTTTGCATGTGGGTGTGCACGATCACATTGATGCCCTTTTAGTCACGAGACATTCAACGTCGACGGAAAACGGGAGCACAAAAAAAAAAAAAAAAAAAAAAAAAAGTCTCAGTGTGCACAGGCCTTTAGTCAGACATCTATATAGTAGTAACAGCTAAGCGCACACACACACACACACACACACACACACACACACACACACACACACACACACACACACACACACACACACACACACACACACACAATACCTTTTTGTCACAATATCCAGTGTGTTGGGTGAGGTGCAGTTGGTGTTAAGGTGCCTCCTGTGTGGACGTCTTAAGCAGGTGGTATTGTCTGTACGTCCATAGTTTGCATCAAAAATTACAATCCCAGACATCGGACCTAAGTTTAACACTGAAATGTTAATATGTCACACACACAAAGTTACTTAATTTTAAAGTTACTTTTTTTTTTTTTTTAAGTATATAATTTTTTTTTATTTCCATTACGAAAATGTTTTGCCAAAGTTAAACATATTTTTGTCATTTAAAAGGTTTTGTTCAGTGTTGGCTTTTTTGCATCTTCTCCTAACATTCTAATGTATTACAATATTTAAGTTATTACAATATTCAAAACATGTCCCTACATCTTTCGGATTGCCCTGTTGCAAAACATTAAATAAAAATCACAAGAAACATCACTCCTGAAGAATAACAAATCATTGAAATACAGCTTCCCTAAAGTCACCTCCACCAGTATAACAGTCATGGTCTCAACATCCATTTTCAAAGTGGGCATCTTGGGAGAGCCAGAGGAAGGTAGGGAAAAAAAATATTTAACAGCGGGTCATTTTTTCATCTTAAACCTGCATTACCAAAATCAAGGAAGTACCTCAGACCATTTTTATTCCGAGCATTCAAACATTGTTTAAACTACGATAGAAAATATGATTATTATTCTGTAGTAGTATGACTACTAATTGAATACTTAAAAAAAATAAAATTAAATTCTCTCCTGTCAAAGACATAGAGTAGTAATGTTGTCTCTGATCATCCAGTCATGGATGGGAGATCTAAAGGGAAGTACAAATTCAGTGCTCTCCATCATTTAAGTCAGGGGTCACCAAACTTGTTCCTGGAGGGCCGGTGTCCTGCAGATTTTAACTCCAACCCTAATCAAACACACCTGAACAAGCTAATCAAGGTCTTATTAGGTATACTTGAAACATCCAGGCAGGTGTGTTGAGACAAGTTGGAGCTAAACCCTGGAGGGACACCGGCCCTCCAGGACCGAGATTGGTGACCCCTGTTTTTGGTCTTTAAAAAAATAATAATAAAAAAAAAAACGCGATAGCACTCACATCAACCTTGTAACTTTAGTTTGAGTTCATGGTAACAAGCAAAAGGTGTCAATGCAAACACTCAGTATAAATACACGCATCAATAATTGATTTTGCCAAATAATAAAAAAAGGCACTTAAAAAAAAAAAAAAAAATTAAATTCAGATGGATTTTATTGGCCATATCAAGTCTGGATTACATCAGAGACTTGACATGTAGATTGCTATGAAAAAAAAAAAAATTGTACCTGTAATTGACCAAAATGACAGAACCTGAAAGTCAACATAAGGCAGAATATCAGTGAACTTTCAAGAGTTCAAACTTAGTTGATGATTAATAAAGTTTGGCATGCTGTCCCGGGAGAGAGCCCTGAGCTCGAAAGGTCCTTGATCCCTGGGCTCCCTCCCATTTGCAGGGCGAGAGGGGAGCCTTGAGCTCAGGTAGATCTCGACAACTCCCCCTTGATAAAAACTGATGACTAAAAATTTGAAAGCTATGAAAATATATGCTACAGGTTGAGAGATTGACCTTAGTGCAAAATTTAGATCAATTCACTTGTTGTGCATGTTTTTGGAATGTGGGAGAAAACTGGAGGACCCGATGAAAACCCACGTGAGCACGGGAATAACATGCAAAACTACTCACAGAAACGACCGCCGGCTTGTTAAGGACAAGAACCGGTGGCGTTCTTGCTGTAAGGCAACAGTGCTAACCACTGGGCCACCGTGCCACCCTATGGAGGGAAAGGTGAAGAGGTAGGGGTGTAAGGGGGGGGGGGGGGAGTCTTCAAATCAAAGATGACTGTAGTGAAAAACCCTGGCTCTTTATAGTGGGTTAGGAATGGCCTGATTGGTAGATCTTGCATGCTAATGCATAACCAGCAGTGTTCAATCATAAAAATCACATGATCCTTTCGAAATTAGTTTATGAATAAACTTCACTTAGATGTACAAAACACTGACTAAATATTTCATTTGTGATGTGCAATTCACTCTATTATAAGAATCAAGGTTTCATTGAAAGCACTCATGATCTCCTAATAGTAAAGGAAGCAGACATATTTAAAGTATTAATGCTATGACTCAAACTGACATATATTGAAGAATTTTAGGATTGTGGAACCCCCCTTTATATCTTCATATTAGCAGCCGCTGAGGATCATAAGTGAACTTGACTGAACCTGAGAGTTCACAAGATTTCAGAAGTATAAGGTTTACACGTTAAACTCTACTACAGTAAATTTTTAAATATATGGTACTCATTGAGGCTGAAAACAGTCTGGGTAAACACAAAGTGCGTGACACTTTAAACTATTTTTGAATCACACCATTTCCAAAGACTTAAAAATTCATAAGGTCCAACTTGAAAACATCAAGTTTCAATCATCTTCTCTTAAAAGTTTCATGGCAAATTCAACCATCTTAACTAGTTTGCCTAATGATTTGCCTAAATTAATCAGCAAATGGCTTAAAGTACTTCAAGGATGATCACAAAGCTGGCAGCTCCTTTTTGTAGAGCAAGGGCTTTGTATTATAGAAGTTACACCAGGTAATAGATGGCTTAATTTGTGCTCCAATTTATTCAACAACAACAATAATAATAATAATAATAATAATAATAATAATAATAATACATAAAAGCATTTTTTTAAGTAAAAAATAAAAGAAATGCTGGGACATGAACATGTGTAATTACAATGAAGCCAAAATTATTAAATGATCTGTTGAATATACATTATCAATGTTGGGAAATGGGTTAAAAAAAAAAAAAAAAAAAAAAAAAAAAAATCAATTCAATGATAGTATTTAACGATGACAAAATGATCAAATTATCAGTGTTAATTTAATGCAAGTGTTTTTTCAATGCGAAATGGTTAAATCATCAACATTTATTCAAATGTCAGCATCTTTAAAAGTAAAATAAGTATTTTCAATGTTAAGAAACGGATAAACAAAATCAATATTGGTTCAAAGCAAGCGAGGGTGAGTGAATTATCAAATGTTGAATACATTTAATTCAAAGCTTAATATTCAACCTCAACCAAAACGATGATTCTGAAAGAATTTCAAAAACAAAATCAATGCCACTATCTGGCATCCTACCCTGTTGTATGGAATTGATGATTACATTTTACTTTAAAATGAGAGGGTCCTTACACATAGACAAGCAGAGTATTGGAAGTGCAGCTCACCACATTTTACGACCCCAAGATGACCTTCACAAATGACAACAGTCTCTGGAAGATATTGGGGAAAAAAAAAAATGTTTTGAAAAGTTTGGGGTAGATAAATTCACTCGTCTGCTCCTGAATAGTGAGAGCTCTTAAGTGTCTCTGCCATCAGGACATAAACAGAATGACTCAGTTCATAATAGGGCATGCACAACATCACATTTTGAACAGGATATTAAAAGCTGCATTCTGACTTCAGCAAATTATTTAAGTGAAAGAATGCCAAGTCAATATCAAACATAAAATGGCCCTTTCAAGCCCACAAGGAAAGTTAAGTGGATACCATAAAATGAATATTAACTAGCAAGCAAGTTCTGGAACACTTACTAGCAAACATCAGATTATAGTCGTCTGGAACATAAGATATCAGCAGGCCAAAGTTCAGAAGCATTACTAGAAGACAGAAGAAAAACAGAAGAGAGCTCATTAAGACACCTCTACAATGTTACTCACATTATACTTTTTAAATTTGTTTCAAAATTGAACTCTACTCATCTGTTGTACTTCTACACATTAACAACCACCATAAATCTACCTTTCAACTTAAAAGAAAATCTTACATGCACTGAAAAAAAACTAGATAAGCCATGGTTTTACTGTCTTTATCAACTGTGTATTAAGGCTTTACTGGTTCATATTTATAGGCCGCTGCTCTAAGTGTTAATGAGCAACACCTGTGTAGCACACCAGTCCCCAGTCCAAGAGGAAAACGAGGACTGACGATCTGAAGATGTATAACGCTGCGGTCACACTGAGCTTTTCCTCCCATACTTTCGCGCGCTAATGCGTCAGACTGGAAACGCAGAGTCATGCGTTAAAAGGCCAAGAAACCCCCTTGTTTTAGCAGGGTGTTTTCACACCTCTACTTTGCAAAAAGTCAGAAAAGTGGGCGTGTCCAGCTCTGTTTAGGGGGGAGTGTTGGAGGAAGAAAAGTGGGATGGTGTGGGAGTGTCTATTCGGGCACGCGCGAGTTTCAGAGTCAAAATACACACACACACACACACACACACACACAGGAGAAAGTGATGGTGTTTAACCTACATGGACATCTGTAGTCGAATTATTTGCCAAATTATTAAATGGTGGACTTTAACTGCAGTTTGGCTCTTTCATTCAGGGAATTCATTCATGCCCCTCGCGACAAACGAGATATTTGATTCGAGGAACTGCTCTAAGCGTGTCTTTTTCATGCAATGTTTGATACCGCACGGGGAATGAGAAAAAAAAAACCTCAGCATTTCCCGGAAACTTAGATGCACACGGCAGGTAGCGTCAGAAAGCTGCGTGTGTTATTCCGGTCACTAAATGTGGTAAAAACCCTACACGAGGACAAAGTTTGGTTGTAGTGCTAACATGTTTACACTCTGTGCAATAGTTAACTTAGTTCGACACGAACAAACTGAATAAACAAGGAGCGCTGGTCGCTCACTTACCAAATCTGTAAAGACAGGACAATCACCAGCAACTAGAGCCGCATCTTTATTAAGAGGAGACTACAAGCGAATCCGGATCTCAGCGTTTGCAGATGAGAACAGCTCTCAGGTAAACAATGTTCCTCCTTAGACACGTAAGTTATTGTTGTCGAGCGTCGCGTACACTGTTAATCCACACGTGACTCTGAGCTCTCACAGAGAGAAAATGAAAACGAAATTTAACTGCAGCAAACTATAAAAGCAACACTTCACGCTTGTTTTGCCAATGCAACGTGGTGTGAGTGTCGTCTAAACACTGTGACAGTAATGAATATTAATGAAGTTGCACAATAGAGCACGCTGATTGGTTTGAACCAAGCCTTACTCATGCATTAATGCATCACACTGTAAGACGTAATAAGACTCACTCTGGCACAGACGCCCAGTCTGCACGCTGGAATACACGCTATTATGTCATGACCGTGACGCAGCTTAAAAAATTCGTTTCAAACCGGAAGTACTAATTTGCTTGAAACAACGCAAAAACAAACCATTCACACTTTTTAGTGAAATATAGGTGTCCTAATAGTGTTTTTAGCAGTGTGGGACACATATAAGACTGTCAACAGCTCAAAAAATTTGTTTTGGTGTTTCGTGACCCTTTAAAAAAGCAAGCGACTGGTCCATGTTTTACATTTTTGTCCAGAGAGGACATGTCTTGATCTTTAATTGGTCTCCCGGAATCATGGGATGTGATTTTGCAGGTCAGAGTTCACCAAGCTTGAAGTTTCAGCTGCGGTCACACTGGGCTTTTCCTCCCATAGACTTCCATTCATTTGCACGCGAAGTGTAGCTCACTTATTTTATGAATGTCCTTTTGTTCAATCTTTTTGGATTAAAGTGCTTTTTTGAAAATGCTTTTATTATCCAAAATAATCTTAATCATTGTTTCAGACTTGATCAAAACACCTTGTTTTGGGTTTTACATTAATATATATTGGAAAGTTTTATATCTATAAATGTAAATAAATGTAAACCCCTTTTTAGCATAATCAAACAAGAAGTATTAACCTAAAGAGTGGTGTTTAAGCTCTTAGAATTTGTGCTTATTGCTTTGTATTTAATAGACCTCTTCGCTTTTATGTTTATATTACCCTCTCGTTTCCACTTATTACTCTAATGCATTTGTAATATATTTAATTCATAATTCCCTTATTGTTAAAAAATGAACTATAGTCTGTAGAGACTGTATTCTGTTTTATTTGTAAATCTTTAATTGTTATAAATACAAAATAAATTAGGATGACGACAAATGATCGGTCATCATGACTGCAGCAAATTTGAGCTCTGAAGTGTTCATCTGTCTGGCTTGACGGCTCCGTTTTCAACTCCGCCCCCGGCTGCGCTCGATTAATCTCGTTGATCACCGGCTGCAGCTGTGCTTCACGTCGAACGCACTTTTTGTGTGTGCGAAATTCTGTTGTACGGCACTGCAAAAAGGGGCGGGATTAAAAAAGATTATTAGACATTACACAAAAAGCCAGCAATTGCTCCATGTTTTAAATTTCTGTCCAGAGAGGTCATGTTTTGATCTTCGATTGATCTCACACAGTCAAGTGATGCGATTTCACAGGTCAGAGTTGACGCATGACTCTGCGTTTCCGGTCTGATGCATTCACGTGCATATGAATGGAAGACAAAGTTCAAGCTTGGTGAACTCTGATCCGCGAAATCACATCACTTGACTGCGTGAGACTAACCGAAGATCAAAACATGACCTCTCTGGACAGAAATTTAAAACATGGAGCAATCACTCGCTTTTTTAATGTCTAATGAACTTGTTTAATCCCACCCCTTTTCACAGTGCCACATGACAGAATATCGCATGCTCAAACTCTAACTTTACCGCAGCTTTAGTGTGTGCGAAATTCTGTCGTACAGCGCTGCTAAAAGGGGCGGGATTAAACAAAATGGTTAGACGTTTAAAAAGTGTTGTCAAATTTCTGTCCAGAGGTCATGTTTTGATCCTCGATTGATCTCACGCAGTCAAAATTTTGCTATTTGCGGGTCTCATATTAAAATTAACTATACATAATTCATGACATTCATTTAAAAAACATTCTCTTGCCAGTTTCAGTAACACTTTATTTTGATGGTCCGTTTAAGTATCAGTAGAGTGTCAGCTTATTATCTGCTGATACTGCTCCTTCAAGACATTTAACTGACTATAAGAAACTCTGCAACAACATGTCAACTTACACTAACCTTAATCCCAACCTAGTAGCCTACTTATAATCTAATAAAAATTAGTTAGCATTGTGGAAAAACTTAATTTATTTTTATTACTTTTATGTCTTTGTTTTTATATGAAAAATGTTTAGATTAACAGATTAATCAATATTTTTCTTTTGTATGATACCATGTATTGACCAGAATTATTTTTTACTGTGCTGCATAATTTTTAAAAGAACTGCTGACAAGAGGGAAATAGCAGAATAAGAATAAATATAGTGCGAGGGCCCTTGTTCCAGACGGCTATCTAATAGGAAGTCTCGACAGGTCACAAGGAGCATGATGCTTATAGAAGTATTGAAATATTAAAGATGCACTAAATTGTTCAGTTCTGGTACAGCCTGATCTCACGAGAAAACATAAGTATTTTACGTTTTGCCAGTTTAGTGGCTAATTCGTACGAATTTGTACGAGTTCAGTCGTACGATATGGTACGATTTTAAAAAGGAGGCGTGGCACCTGACCCCACCCCTAACCCCAACCGTCATTGGGGGATAAGCAAATCGTACGAAATTAAATTGTACGAATTAGATTGTACGAATTCATACGAATTAGCCACTAAATAAAAAAGTTATGAATTGCCGTGAGATTGTGTTGGGTATGCAGAGAAGTGTTGCAGAAAGAGGAAGTATGTCTGGGGGACAAGAGCAAAAGGACTGCAGAATGACTGATAAGTGAAGTTACACCAAAACTCCACCTGTTAATATAAGTTAGTTGCAAACCTCTTTAATGTAACTCTTGTATTGCATTGGGGTAACGTAACCCAGAGCCCTGTCATCTAATTATTAATTTATCTAATTAATTAATAATATTTTTGGCATTGAAGAAATCCCTCTCCAGATCTTTTCTTATTGTACACGCATGGAATTGGCCTGATATTTTAACATGTAATGCAACTCAAATCCAACAAATGGACCATAAAAATAGTGACTTTTTTTTTAAAGATGGATCATAGGTGTGATCACAGCCCACACTCCTAACCAGCTGGTGTCTGTAATGCATCTAGAAGTTGTATGCCAACCACCAATAAAAACTCAGAAGACGACACTACAGTGGCTTTATCAAATAACTTTAAAAGTCATGTTCTCTCAATGGCAACAAGGAGTTGTTTAAACTAAAATCAATGATATTTTAGCAGGCAGATGATATATTTGATCAAGATGAATTAAGAATAAATGTCACTTAATATCAGAACATCAAGTTTTAAAAGAATCCAACAGAACATGGCAGGAGTTTAACTAACTTTATACATCAGCACTGTTACAAGATTTAAAGTAAAATGATTCACAGCTTTAGTAGAGATCAAGATTTTACATTTCTGTGCAAGGCATGTTTAAATGCTAGTGCTTTGCTTGTCATCTTACAGCTTACACTTTTATAAAAAATTCCTTTGCCATCATAAAAAGTCATTTTATAAAGTTCCTTGCATAGGAACAAGTTTTTATTTATTTATTTATTTATTTATTTATTTATTTATTTATTTATTTTCTCCTTTCCCATAAATTTCTCACAAAAATCACAGCCATCTTTCATCAGCAGCAAAACACAAGTTAGGCCAAGTTCACGCTGCAGTATTTTGATATCAAAAAGGTTTTCTTCCCATTCTCCTTGACTAGTTTTAGCACAGGTCTTAAACTCAGTTCCTGGAGGGATGCAGCCTTCCACAGTTTCTCAAATCTTAGTCAAACACAGCTGATCTAAAAATATATATACTTTAAAAGAGTCTTGAACACCTTGATTAGTTGCATCGGCTGTGTTTGTGACCAATTGCAGCACGTGTCTCTGTGAATTTGCCATGTATGCAGTTTGTAGTTGTAGCCAGAGGGTTAGGTTAGTACATCAGTCCTGAAATAGACTTGAGCATAGGGGTCAAATAAAATAATTTTGCCGTTTAAAAATATAAAAAAAAGACACTTTTTATACAGCTTTATTTAAAAAAATAAAATAAAATAAGCAAACTCAGCACCAAGGCACTTATGAAAGACATCACTCAATTTTAAATACATCAATATGCCATACAAAAGTGTTAACCCTTAAATTAAACTATAGGGTAACAGATGTGCTCCATGATTAGGCATGCTCAAATCAAGACTGAATACACATCTGTTTAGTTGTGCCTTTACTGAATGAGCACTGTGCTATGTCTGACAGATCATACTATTTTGTTTCTTTTTCTATCTTTTATAAACACATTGTACCTGTTTTTATGTTTTGTTTTGTTTTATATAATTTTTATTTGTTTTTTTTTCTTATACACGTTTCTTTTATTCTTGTTTATGTAAAGCACTTTGAATTGCCACTGTGTATGAAATGTGCTATATAAATAAACTTGCTTTGCCTATGATCAGGACTTTTCCCCGTTAGTCAGTATGCAAATATATAATTTTTTTTTGAAATATTGAACATTTTAATTTTACATCTAAATCGTTAATCACACTAGCATTCTTGACAGATCATGTGTTTGTGTGCATGGAAATGTAATAAATTTGGTCTAATCCATGTCGTGAAACACCCCCTCCCCTGCTTTCACTTCTCATTCTAACAGATTTGGTTGTGAATAAATCGTTATAAAACTACTCAATTAGCCGAAAATAATACAAGTCTTGGCACCGCAGCATCTTGTCGTCGTTTCTTTTTAATTATTGGAAGATTTTATTCAACTAAACTACCAAAAGACACATTTAGTGTGAGTTAGTGCTCCTTTGCACTATGGTGAATGCAGTCAGATTGCACCAATCAAAAGCTACTTGAGCAGACACAAAAAAAAAAAAAAAAAAAAAAAAAAAAAAAAAAAAAAAAAAAAAAAAAAAAAAAAAAACCACACTAAACAACCTTGCCTTTAAAATGTCTTTATGCTGTTTACCTGTTACTACACTTGTATACAGCTATGAAGTACAGCATCTTCACGTCTCAGCTTCAGCTTTCTCTATTAATAAACTTCAGCTAGTACAAAATGCAGCTACCAGGGTTCTTACCAGGTCAAGAAAAAAAAAAAAAAAAAAAAAAAGATCATAACACCTCAAATATACATTGGCTGCCTGTTAAGTTATGTATTGATTTTAAAATATTGCTTCTTACCTATAAATCTTAGCCATTATTTCACAAAACTTTACTACATTGTACATTAAGGGTTATGCAATAGGCCATGTCATCTCCTAATAGTAATCTCTGGTTAAAGTTAACGAGCTTCAATAAATCGCACAACTTCCAAAAATGGGGGGGGGGGGGAGACATCCAATTTAAGGTGTTTACATCCGATAACTTGAGGTTTTTGCATCTAGTTTTAAAAAAAAAAAAAAAAAAAAAAAAAAAAAAAAAAAAAGTCAATATGATTAGGAAGTTCTGTTTGACTTTAGTAAAAACAAAACATTTCTCATTTGATAAAGGATTTATTTAAAAGCAAACTCCAAACACCAGGAATTATGAAAGATGAACACAAATTGAATCAATCTACGTCATACAATAGAGTTAGCACTTACAGAAACTAAACCATGGTCTAATGCAGTCACAGATTGCAATTTGTACAGCCACAGTGAATAAATCTGTTACTCATGTGGTCAGTCAACTGCAATAAACATTTTGTACCAATTATATCTACACAAGATCAGGTTTAAATGCAGTCGTGATAGTCAATGGTTGTAGAGATGCTCAAATAAAGTCAAAATCCTTAAGATCAGTCTTCATTTGCTGCAAGGAAGAAAACGATAATTGAGTTCATTTGCAAATGAAAGGTTAAGTAAAAGACAAACCTTTACAAGCACTTACCAGGACAGGAGTAGGTGACCTGCAGGTACTTGCGTGTACCCAAACAGGGATCAGAGAAGACATCGTTGGAGGCAGTCAAGGAGCAGTATTTCCCGTCACACCTGTGTGATGGTAGAAGGGAGTTAGACATGAAAAACGTTCACCCACATGTCAAGTGGTAGCCGTTGGTCAAACCCTGGACTTTACCGGTGATCCATGTATTAGCACTTTCATTACAAAAAAAATTGTTCTATCAAAAGGGTCACCGGAATATTAACTTGAGAAACTATGGAATTAGAATAATCTTGCTTTAACGTAGTAAACACTTGCCTGCCTCTCATTTGTACAAAAACAGTAAACAATTGCTCAATCTATACCTTTCTGACACAAGTTCCAGCGAATTTTGCAAAAAGCACTCCGTGTTTAGGCGCCGCCCAAATGGACGTCTTCTCAAGCAGGTGGTATAATCTGTACGTCCGTAGTTTGCAGAAAGGATCTTAATCTTACCATGTTCTGAGGAAGCAAAAATATTTAATTTTAAAAAGGCAGAGATCCCTTTACATAGACCATTGGGGGGGGGGGGGGGAGAAAAAAAAAAAAAAAAAAAAAAAAAAAAAAAAAAAAAAAAAAAAAAAAAAAAGTAACTCACCACATTCCAAGACCCCATTATCACCTTCACAAATCTCAATAGTTTCTGAAAGACATTGGATGAAGGTTACAGGTTTGCACAAAGAACATAAGCTTTAATTGGAATAAAAAAATCCATACTTGCTGGGACACAAATGTAGTTGGTGGTGTAATGGGTAAAAACACAATGATCTGGTCTTGAAATGCTTTCCTTCTTTATCACACACTCTGCCCGTCCATTACACCTGTTTGAGGACAAGTTAATCACTAGCAGAAATTTCAAACTAATTAACCAGTAATCACAAGCTAAAAGGAGGGGAAAAATTATGTTTTTACCCTTTAGGTACAAGAGGAATATCTGGAAGACACCTAGCAGGATCCATTCGAACACGTGGCTTTGCTGGGCCACAGATGCGGGTGGTTCGGTGACCAAATCTTGCCGACTTAATGAAGATCACACCAACACCTTAATAAATAAAAACAAGTCACTTGCTACCCTTGACAGGATTTTACAGCAACTTCAATAGATCATCATTACATCTTACCACAACGGAGACGAAGGTCAGAATCCTTGCATGTAATTACAGTATCTGGGAGGGACAGACACAAAAAAAAAAAAAAAAAAAAAAAAAAACACATAAGTAGCCATCATTCCAAATTACAAGCTATAATCGGTGACGAGCAAAAAGACACGGATATCTCATTACATTAACTTTCATGCCAATTCATTAAAACTCACTGTCATAATCAGACTCCTGAGTGTCTTGTATGGAATCAAATACAGACACAGACATCAGCAGGCCACAGTTCATCAGCACTACTAGAAAACCAAGGAAAAGATTTGATTAAGACACCAGTACACTGCTAATCTTACACACTTGCTGAAAATGTAGTTCAAAAGATAACTTTTCTAAAGTCAGTTGTAGAACTACACATTTACAATCACTATGCATCAGCCTATCATGTGTAAAGTCACTCACAGGCAACAACGACACTAAGAAAACCCATGGTTCTGCTGTTTCCCTCAATGATGAATGCAGCATTTGCTGATTCATATTTATAGGCCGCTGATTTGAGTGTTAATGAGCGACACCTGTGCACCACACCGGCCTCTAGTTCTAAAGGATAACGAGGAATGATGAAAACAACGCTGGAGTGCTTTTATGAAGTTAGACCTGAAGCGTGTTTCACGAAACTAGTTTAAGCTGCGGTCACACTTGACTTTTCTCCCCATAAACTTCCATTCATTTGTACACGAATGCGTCAGACCAGAAACACATGGTTTGCATGTTCTCCCTGCGTTCGCGTGGGTTTGCTCCGGGTGGTCCGTTTTCCCCCACAGTCCAGACACATGCGCTACAGGTGAATTGGGTTGGCTAAATTGTCTGTAGTGTGTGTAAATGAGTGTGTATGGATGTTTCCCAGTGATAGGTTGTGGCTGGAAGGGCATCCGCTGTGTAAAAACGTGCTGGATAAGTTGGTGGTTCATTCCGCTGTGGCGACCCTGGATTAATAAAGGGACTAACCCGAAAAGAAAATGAATGAATAATCTGAGTTCGGCAGTTCATTCCGCTGTGGCGACCCCGGATTAAAGCTTTGGTCACACTGGGCTTTTCTTCCAATAGACTTCCATTCATACGCACTGTCAGACCGGAAACACAGGGTCATGCGTCAAGTTTTGCATTTCAGACCAATAGAGCATCAAAACCTCACCTCTCTGGACAGAAATTTAAATCACTTTTATTAAAATCTAACCATCTTGTTTAATCCCGCCCCTTTTCACAGTGCCGTACGACAGATTTTCGCACACACAAACTCTAGTGTGACCGCAGCTTAATAAAGGGACTAAGCCGAAAAGAAAATGAATGAATGAATGAATAATCTGAATTTAGTTTCAATAATCTAGATAACTTCTAGTCAATCAAAAACTTGTATCCTGACGGGATATAAGCATAAAAGTCTTGAAAAAAAATACTATACATATATTTGTAAAACTGGGACAATGCAACAGCGCTGTAGGTAGTGCTGTCGCCTCACAGCAAGAAGGTCTCTGGTTTGAGCCTCGGCTGGGTCAGTTGGCGTTTCTGTGTGGAGATTCTATGTTCTCCCTCCGGTCGCGTGGGTTTCCCCTGGGTGCTCTGGTTTCCCCCACAGTCCAAAGACATGCGGTACAGGTGAATTGGGTAAGCTAAATTGTCCTTAGTGTATGAGTGTTAATAAGTGTGTATGGATGTTTCCCAAAGATGGGTTGCAGCTAGAAGGGCATCCGCTGAACATATGCTGGATAAGTTGGCGGTTCATTGCGCTGTGGCGACCCCAGATTAAAAAATGGACTAAACCAAAAAGAAAATGAATGAATAAATGAATATTTGTACAAATATATTAAACGTTTAAAATAATGGCAACAAAGAGCCATGCATGCACAAGCTGCGAGATTTTTAATTTGCTCTGAAAACACAGAAAATTGCTGCTTTCCTTTTGACACTTTTTTTGACATTTGATGCTTTAAAATATTTTTTTTAGAAATGTAGCTTACTTCTTTATATCAGTCAGTGCTTTCTTATATTATTTTCTTTATTCGTTTTGGAAACCTAAATTAATATGTTGGGTGGAATTATTAAATTAAATTTCAATAAACAGGAAAAAAAACAACATAAACATAAAAAATTTATTAAATTTAGGTGAAGTGACTATAAAGTTTTAATCATTATTAAGAGGTTAAGGGAATTAAAATGGCATTAATTTATGACGGGTGAATGTTAATATTACCTTGATTAAGCCTGAACTTTAGTTAACCTGCTCCTGACCTGGCTAGTTTTACAGCAAAAGTTGCCAGAGTAACTAAGTTCGAACTATCATAAATTTGATTTAGAAATTTGATTAGTTCATAGATACCATTTTCCATTTATGAGTAATTTACTAAATAATTCATAACCCAGTGGGAAAATATATTTTA